TTATTTTTAATCTGAAATCAAAGACACTTCCAAGAGTAAGTGTAAAATGGTGTGTTTTGCAGAGATTCGTACCAAATAACCACTATTATCCTTAGCTCCATGGTGGGCGCCAAACTGTTTACCCGAAAAACGGATAGAGTTGAATTTATACGTAGTATAACTTGGTACAAATCGGAAAAATAAGTAAAAATATATCGAATATTGTCTGTAAAAAGGAATAAAATACAAACCAAATTAAGTAGAAAATAATTTATAAATAAGCAAGATGAACCAATGTCCTAAGCCCAAAGAAGGATAATGTTTACTATATATGTGTAAATCTCAATAACTTCTGAAATGTGAGAGTGTATTGATGTCCGAATGTCGAATATTGAATGTCCTTTACAGAAATGATAGCCACTCTTCATATAGTGGAGGGATCCTACTTTGGATATAATTAAAAATACATAGTGGGAATCCCATGATAGATTAGTTAATTAGCTTTTTCTTAATTCCCGTCGAGATTCTCTCCCCTAATGAGGCTACAACGACTCTTTGTCTCTTAGCTCTATCTTGGTTGTGCTTGGATCTCGAGCTCGATGTTGACTCGAGCTCTATATTGGTCGATCTCGGTATTGACTCAAGCTCGATATCGATTCGAGCTCGGTATTGATCGGTCCCTGACTCTTGAGCTCGATAACCTAGCTTCAGATCTTATCTTGATATTACGATGACGACCCTCGGTCCATCATTTTCCAATCTCGAATAATTACATGAAGATCAAAACCGATTTTGATCGTATACAGACTTGTAAACTTTATTTGCATTGTCTTTTATTTATATATACATATTTAATAAAAACTCTTAACGAAGCGGTATCACGTAATATTGCATGGGGCTATCTTCCCCTCGTGGTACATGCTGCTCACCCTTCCTTCGTATGAGAATCGTGTGAAACTAAGGGTAAACAAAAGATAAGGAGGTCCTCTAGGCGGAGCTAAAAATTCAAATAAAGGGATAGTTTTTGTAAAACTTTTTCTAAAGGGATTCAACAACTTAATATTTATTCTTTTCAAGTTCATGTCAAGCCTTAATATTGTTTATTTTGGTTTTATTATAAAACTGAGCAGACTTTCGATCAAATCGATACAGTTTCTTTTACGTATTTAACATGCGATTTCTTTTTTTTTTTCCTTTTATTTTTATTTTTGACTACTATAGTTGTTTCTTTGAACGCGATGCATAGGAGTTGCAGAAAATGGTACTATTCCCTGTGAATGAAGGGAAAAGAAGTTTCGACAAAATAAAGGGAAAAGAAGTTTCAACAAAAGTTATGAAATTGTCACATAAAAAAATGCTCTCGTTGAGAGTCGAACTCAAGACCTTCCGCTTACTAAACGGGTGCTCTAACTAACTGAGCTTCGAGAACTATTGACAAAAATTTTCTTGATGACTACTATATTTACAAAAGGCAACAAACTAGACTGACTATTTTTTTCTTTTCTTGTATAATTCGAGAGTATTGACGAAGTTCTATGAAATATGGAAATTCACATAGGACAATATTGAGGGATTTAATACAAATAAGCAAATGCTTTTTCCCACTACCGATAGCAATAGTACACGCAATTCACTTTTTAGTGTAATGGTAGATGTCTCGGAGACTGAGACCAAGTATGGTATGACAAAAGTATTTCGTACTTAAAACAACTTTTTTTCCATCGCAGACAAGGTAGGGATAAGATTTGCGTATACTCTATTCTTCCAAAACCTCACTTGTAATATCATATTAGGTATGTTATTAGTGTTGATTTAAAGTTTGTGTTGAACTAGTCAAATGATAAGTGTGGAATCCGTAAACCTTCACTCCATATTTAAAACATTCACATGGTAATTACAATAAGCGGATAGAAATTAGGTAGAAGAATAAAAATTTTACTGCTTATCCGGTGCCTTCTTTACGACTTTCGACCAAGTCATTATTGAAGAAACTCTTGTTCAGTCAGGACGTCGTTCCCGTCCCCTGTGGTGCTTTTTCAACCTCTTGCTTTGACTTGGTAAATTTCATCTGGATTCACTCCAATTCTAAGAGATACCGCATTATCTGCATCACCAATTCTAGGTATATACTATGTTCCATAGCCTTTAGTTTAGTTGCAGAGCTAATGAGAGAAGTCTATTAGATAATTAATAAAGAAAAGAGAGCCAAATGAATTTTGTATGCTATAGTCCACACCATCTGCATAAATCCAGGCTACCAGATTCGAATCGTTTAAAATTTTGCGGGATGGATTCGGCAAGACCATTCCTCATGTTTTAGCAATTTAGGGCAAAAAAAACTGAAACTCGGGCCGATTTCAAAATTTTCGTGTGTTATGACATCTGTATGAATCCGGATTACCGGATCCGAATAGCTAAAAATTTTGCGGGGGCATAAAAAAGACCTACTGAATAATAGTCATGGCGTCGGCATGACCGTTTATCATTTTTTGATGTTTTAGGGTCAAAAAATAGGAATTCAACACAATTCCTAGATTTTTGTGTGTTATAGCCCGCGCCATCTGCATGGGTTCGGATGTCTGGACCCGAATCTCTTAAAGTTTTGCCGGCCCATAAAAAATGACCTAAGGAATACTAGTCATCGACTCGCCATGACCGTTCCTCATTTTTTGGCGTTCTAGGGACATAAAATTAGAATTTCGTCCGATTCCTAGATTTTTGTGTGCTATTGCCTACGCTATCTGCATGAGTGCGGGCTTCCGGACCCAATCGCCTAAAATTTTTCTGGCCTATCAAAAATGACCTAAGGAACATTAATCATAGACTCACCATGACCGTTCCTAGTTATTTTGGCATTTTAGGATAATAAAACTTGAATTCTATCCGATTCTCAGATTTTTGTGAGCTATAGCCAATGCCATCTGCATGGGTCCGAGCGTCCGGACCCGAATCACCTAAAATTTTATCGGCCCATCAAAAATTACCTAAGAAAAATTAGTCATCATCTCGCCATGACCGTTCCTCATTTTTGGCGTTTTAGGGTCATAAAACTGGATTTCTGCCAATTCCCAGATTTTCATGTGTCATAGACCACACCATCTGCATGGGCTGGGCGCCCGCATCCGAATTGTCTAAAATTTTGCCCGCCCATCAAAAACGACCTAAGTATCATTAGTCATCGCCTTGTTCCTCATTTTTTGGCATTTTAGGGCCATAAAATTGGAATTTCGCCCGATTCCCAGATTTTCGTGTGCTATATAGCCCATGCTATCTATATAGGTCCGGGCATCTGGATTCGAATTGCCTAAAATTTTGCCCGCCCATCAAAAATGACCTAAGAAATATTAGTCATCGCCTCGCCAAGACCATTTCTCATTTTTTGGCGAATTAGGGCCATAAAACTAGAATTCAGCCTGATTCTCATATTTTCGTGTGCTATAGCCCATGCCATTTGCATGGGTTCCGGCGTCCGGACCCGAATCGCCTAAAAAATTTTCAGACCATCAAAAATAACCTAGGGAATATTAGTCATCATCTCTCCATGACCGGTCCTCGTGTTTTAGCGGTTTAGGGCCATATAACTAAAATTTCTCCTGATTCTCAAATTTTCGTATGTTGTAGCCCACGCAATCTGCATGGGTTCGGACGCCCGGACCAGAATTTCCTAAAATTTTGCTGGCCCATCAAAAATTACTTAAGGAACATTCAGTGTTGTGAAAAGCGAGTGCTTACTCTCTTAAAGCGAGAAGCGAAGCGAGGCGAGCCATCGAACGCTTCTGTTAGCTGAAGCGTAGCAGGTTCACAAAAGCGCTCGCTTCCCATTAAAAAACGAGAAGTGATGTAGCGATGCGAAGCGTAAGATGCAAGCGCTTCTCTTTATAACAGGGCTGCCAACCTATTTAATTAAAAAAGTTATTCATTTTTCAAAACATCATCGACCAATAGCAACAGAGAAAGAAAGAGGCGACCTAAGGTTCAAGTTTTCTACACTTTTCTACTTCAATATCATCAAGTTTGGTCCCAGGTATATGATTTCTTCCTCCTCTTCCTCCTCCTCCTTCTTCTTCTTCTTATTTTCCTTTTTCTTTCACTATTTCAGTGTCCAAATAGCAGCGAAATGCTGGCGAATTATTTTTTCCCCTTCAGCTCTTCTTTCTCATTCTTATCCTCTTCTTCTTCATTTTCTTGCATTGTTCTAGTGATAAAAAGATTGAAATGCTGCCCATTTTTTTGTTTTAGTTATACTGCCCTTCTTCTTATTTTCATATCCTTTATTCTTAATTCTTATTGTCTTTTTTATGTGTTATGTAGTTGTTCTTTTAATGGCACCAAAGGAGAAGGAAAGACCCGGCTTGGGCTTAATCTGCAAGAGTTAGCGAGACCAACAAGATGGCAATTAGATATTTCTTTTGTGATAAGATTTCAAATGCGTATCTAATTGGTGGTGATCCAAATGTCACATCTTTTCCTAAAGTTCTGCCGCATGTGAAGGAAGAATTGAAAGCATTCCTTAAAAAAAAAAGAGTTAAAGGCTCAAATGCTTCATGAACAAGAACCGCATAGTCTTGATGATAATGATGATGAAATAGAAGAAGGTAACGATGCTTCGTCACTTCCACGCTCTTCACAAAAGCGGGGAAGGATACAAATAATGTCTTCTAGTTGTGGATCTACTGGTAAGACCAAAGGTCCTATGGATTGTTATTTCCCGCAAAATCAGAAGATAAGGGAGGAAAAAGTGGTAATCCTCAAATTAATGCCAAAGTGATTTTGAGGGATCGTGCAGTAGCAATGTTTGCGCTGTAGATGTATGATTCATGTCTTTCTTTTAATTGTGTTAATTACACTGACGACACTTTTTCTGCTTTTATTGAGGCTGTAGACCAATATGATCTAGGAATGAAGCCTCCAACTTATCATGAAGTTAGAGGTCCATATCTAAAAAACAAGAGGTGGAAAAGACTAACAAAATCATAGAGGAGCATAAAGTAGAATGGAACAAGTTTGGTTGTTCCATTATGATGGATAAGTGGATGGCAGGAAATGGAAAAATGATCAACAATATCTTGGTGAATTCTCCTAAGGGAAGCTTGTTTCTTGAGTCCGTTGATGCAAGCGACTCTTCTACTGATTCAACCAAAATGTACTCTTTGTTCAAGAGTACAATAGACTCTATTGGAGCAGTAAATGTTGTTCATGTTGTTACGGACAATGCAAGTGAAAATGTTAAAGCTGGTGATTTGATGTTTGTAGGGTACCCACATATTTATTGGACTCCGTGTGCAGCACATTGCATTAATTTAATCTTCGGTGATATTTTCAAGGAAAGACCCTTCAGTTCAGTCTTTAATCAGGCAATTAGAGTGCATTCCTATATTGTTCAAAGGCCTTTGTTATTGAATATGATGAAGAGATTCACTAAACAAAGAAGCTTGGTGAAACATGCCAAGACAAGATTTGCTATCACTTTCTTGACTTTGCATAGGATGTATGAGCAAAAAAGCAATTTGAAGAAGTTGTTTGTTTCAGATGAGTACACTAACAGTGCCTATGGAAGGGAAGCTCGAGGGAGAGAATCTGCAGATATTATACTTACTACTTAATTCTGGAACAATGTGGTTCATGCATTGAAGATTGGCGATCCTTTAGTTAAAGTGCTTCGTTTGGTGGATGGGGAGCAAAGGCCACCAATGAGCTACCTTTACAAAGCAATGGATATGGCAAAGGAGGTTATTCGAGACTCTTTTAGTGATCAAAGAAAATACAAAAGAGTCTTTGAGATCATAAATAAAAGATGGAGCGATCATATTCATCGCCCTTTGCATGCAGCAAGACTTGTTTAGAACCCGGAACTGTTTTATGACAATGAAGAGAGGATTCTAGGAGATGAGGAATTATGGAAGGGATACATTAAATGTATTGAGAAGTTGATACCTGATTTATCCGTGCAAGATAAAATAACATATCAATTTAGTACTTATAGGAATGTTGAGCAATTTTTTGGAAAAAACATGGCTATTAGACAAAGAAAGATGAAGTCACCATGTGAGCGAGTGCTTATATGTTGCTTTATAGTTAGTTATTTCTTTATCAATATTATGTTTTGACTATTTGTTCTACTTCTACAGTTGAATGGTGGAAGCAATATGGCCATTCCACACCAGAATTACAAAAGTTTGCCATCAAGATTCTAAGTCTAAGATGTAGCTCATCCGGGTGTGAAAGGAATTAGAGCGTGTTTGAACATGTAAGAACTAAGAAGAAAGATTTAGTATATTGAGATAATTAAACTATATCTCAATTGTCCTAATCTTACTAATTACTTATTATTTGCATATTCATACTAAAAAGAGGAACAAACTAACCTTGAATCATCTCAATGATCTAGTCTTTATTAAGTACAATAGAACATTGAGGCGTGGTTACAACGATCGCAATGTAATTGATCCAATTAGATTGGACAACATCGATGATGCTAATGAATGGCTAACTAGAGTCCCAGAAGATCATGCAGATGAAGAAGTATTTGAGAAAACTTCCGATTTCACTTGGGGTGATGTTGCGGAGGCGCGTGGAATTGGGGAGATGATTTATAGTTTGAGAAGGAGTACCTCAACTTCAAGCTCACAGCAGCTACTTTGTCCCTAGTTGATGAAGAAGAAGAAGTTGAAGAAGATGACGAGCAATATAATAATAATAATAATAGTGAAATACAAGAATTTGACAATCTTGTAGAAGAATATGATGCTCATTTTGTGCTTTAATTGATGTTACTCTTTAGTTTTTACATTGAAGTATTGAATATTTGCTTACAGTTACATGTGTTGTCTATGCAGTATTTATTTTAATCTTTTTTTTAAAAAATTCTGCTTCACTTCAAAAAAGCGAGCGCTTCGCTTCTCGCTTCTCGCTTTAAGCGAAAAGGGGCTTGTCGCTTTTCCTCGCTTCATGCTCTTCATAACATTGGGAACATTAGTCATCGTTTCACCATGATCGTTCTTCATTTTTTTGCATTTAAGGGCCATAAAACAGGAATTTCGCTCGATTCCATATTTTCATGTGCTATAGCCTACGCCATCTGCATGGGCCCGAGCCCGTGGACCTGAATCGCCTAAAAACTTTTCGACCCATCAAAAACGACCTAAAAAATATTAGTCATCGTCTTTCCATGACTGTACCTCATTTTTTGGCGTTTTAGGGCCATAAAATAAAATTTTGCCCGATTCCAATATTTTCGTGTGCTATAGCTCACGCTTTCTGCATGGGTCCGGGCGTCCGATTTCGAATCGCCTAATATTTTATCGGCCCATAAGAAATGACCTAATAAACATTAGTCATCGCCTTTCCATGAATGTTCCTCGTTTGTTTGGCGTATTAGGACCAAAAAGTAGGAATTCAGCACGATTTTTAATTTTTTGTGTGTTAATGTCCATGCCATCTTTACGAATTCGACGACCCGCCTGGAATCGACTAAAATTTTGTGTGCCTGTCAGAAATGATCTAATGAATAATAGTCATTATTTCTCCTTGATTGTTCCTTATTTTATGGCGTTTTAGGGGCCATAAAACAGAAATTCAGCGCGATTACCGATATTTTGTGTGTTAATGTTCATGCCATCTTCATTAATTCGGGCGACCAGCCCTGAATTGCCTAAAATTTTGTGGGTCTATCCGAAATGACCTAATAAACAATAGCCATTACTTATCCATGACCGTTCCTCATTTTTTGGCATTTTAAAGCAATAATTAGGAATTCAGCGCGATTTTTGATTTTTCATGTGCTAATGTACATGTCATCTTCATGAATTCGAGAGACCGGCCCTGAATTGCTTAAAATTTTTGTGAGCCCGTCAGAAACGATCTAATTAATAATAGTCATTGCTTCTTCATGATCGTTCCTTGTTTTTTGCCATTTTCGAGCCATAAAACAGGAATTCAACATGATTTCTAATTTTTCGTGTGCTAATGTCCACGCCATTTTCATTAATTTGGGAAACCGGCCCCGAATTGCCATTTTATGAGCCCATCAAAAATGACTTAATGAACAATAGTTATCGTTTTGCCATGACCGTTCCTCTATATACGAGAACTGAATTGCCTGCTACATTGTGGACCCATTAGTAAAGACTTAATGAAAAATAGTCATCGCTTCTCTATAACCGTTCCTCATGTTTTGGCGTTTTATGGCCATAAAACGAGAATTTAGGACGATTTCCAATTTTATATGTGTTAATGTCCACGCCATCTTCATTAGGGCGATGGGCTTTGATTCGCCTAAAATTTTGTGGGCTGATCAGAAATGACCTAATAAACAATAGTTATCACTTCACCATGACCGTTTCTCTTTTTTTTTTTGTTGATATTTTATAGCCATAAAGCTTATTATAACGACCCAGTCGGTTGTTTTGAGAGTTGTATACCCGTTCTCCCATTTACTGCTCATTTTGTACTTTATAGCTGTTATGTGACTTATCGGGGTAGTCGATTCGGGTCCGGTGTGATTTCAGAATGAAATGAGACACTTAGTCTCAAGGTTGAAAGCTTAAGTTAAAATGTTTGACCGGATGTTGATCTTTGAGTAAACGACTCCGGAACGGAGTTTTGATGTTTCCGTTAGCTTCGTTAGGGGATTTGGTCTTCGGAGCATTTTCGGATTGTGATTTGGAAGTCCGTAGTGGAATTAGGCTTGAAATAGCGAAAGTTGCATTTTTGGAAAGTTTGACCGGGATTGGACTTTTTGATATCAGGGTCGGATTCCGATTTCGAAAGTTAAAGTAGGTCTGTGGTGTCATTTTTGACTTGTGTGCAAAATTTGGGGTCAATCAGATGTGATTTGATAGATTTCGGCATCATTTGTAGAAATTGGAAGTTCAAAGTTTGTTAGGCTTGAATCTATGTGCGATTCATGTTTTTGATGTTGTTCGAGGTGGTTTGAAGGCTCGACTAATTTCGTATAAGGTGTTAAGACTTGTTGGTATATTTGTTTGAGGTCCGGGGGGCCTCAGGTTGATTTCAGATGGTTAACGGAACGATTTGAAGTTTGAGAGAAGTGCTGAAGCTCACCAGCTTCTGGTGTAATCGCACCTGCGGAGTGGGGATCGCAGGTGAGATCTCACAGACGTGAAGGGTGAACCGCAGAAGCGGAGCTCGGCTGGCCTGGGCAGGGCGCAGGTGCGAGGGTCTAACTGCATATGCGAGCCCGCAGGTGCAAGCGAGGCTCCGCAGATGCGAAATTATGAGAGGGGCTTGTTTCCGCAGAAGCGCCTCCGCAAGTGCGGAACCTGGAACGCATATGCGGTCCTGAGGAATTTAAGTGGCTTTCGCAAAAGCGGGGATTTGACCGCAGAAGCGGTTCCGCAGGTTCATATATATGGCCGCAGGTGCAAAAATCCTGGACAGATTATTAAAATAAGGGTTCGCGATTTTGGCTTCATTTCAAACATGTCAAGCACGGTTTAGGCGATTTTTGAGAGGGTTTTCGAGGGGATTCTTGAGGTAAATCCCCTGTGCTTATTTTTGATCAATAATATTGCTTCCCCATTGATTTTCCCAACTAGTTGTTGTGTGTTTAAGGTGTAAATTGGGAGTTTGATGCTAGGGATTTGGAGAGTTTGATTCGAGGATTTGGGGGACGATTTGGTGTCGGATTTTGATAGATTTGGTATAGTTAGACTCGTGGTTGAGAGGGCTTTCGGGTTTTGTGACTTTTATCAAATTTTGAGACGTGGTCTCGGAGATCGGATTTTGAGCCGATTTTTTATTTTGATTAATAACTTAGTATTTTCTTATGGAGTTGATTCCTTTAGCTCGTATTGATTATATCGCATTGTTTATGGCTTGATTCGAGGCATTCAGAGGCCGTTTCGCGAGGCAAGGGTGTGTTAGAGTAGAGATTTGCTCGTATTGAGGTAAGTAACAGTTCTAAATTTGGTCATGAGGGTACGAAATCCCGTATTTCGTGTCATGTATTTGGTTTTGAGGTGACGCACATGCTAGGTGACGGGCGTGTGGGCGTGCACCGTAGGAATTGCGACTTGGTAAAATTTCATGGAACCGTGTAGTTGTATAATCTGTTGTTATCTGTACATTCTCCATGTATTAGAGAAATGTAACCACAAATAATGTTTAGACCAAGTGTTGGCGCTGTAGGAACCCACAGAGGTCGTATACATGTTGAATTATCTGCTAAATTGCTGTCTGTACTCAGTCACAGTTTATTTGTATATTACATCTCAGTCTCTATTGTTCATTTTTGATGCATCATATCATTGCTATCTGGGCTGCTTATTATGACTTCTGAGAGCCCGAGATACTAGAGAGGTTGATGACTGAGTGAGGCCGAGGGCCTGATTGTGAGGTATTATACTATAGCACGTGAGTTGTCTATGCGGATCCAGCTATTATACTATAGCACGTGAGTTGTCCGTGCCGCACGTGAGTTGCCCATGGGATCCAGATATTATATTATAGAACGTGAGTTGTCCGTGCAGCACGTGAGTTATCCGTGCAGATTATAGCGTTTGGGCTGAAGGAGCCCCTCCGGAGTTTGCGCACACACCCAGTGAGCGCAAGTACCTATTGAGTGCGAGTGTCGAGTGGTGAG